AAAAAAAGGTAGTATACTAAATCAGTTTTGCAAAAAACTGGAAGCTTTAGACTGCTGAATCTGTTGGCCAGGCTGAATTCGAAGTTTTATGCAGATTCTGACTCACTCATTTATTATTTATTACCTGGTTCTTCTTTTTCCTCTAAGACATAGAAAAGTTCAAAGATAGTATAATGAATACCAAATACCTCTTAGAGACTTCAAAAAGAGCAAATATTTTCAAACCCCACTCCACCCTTCTATTTTTATTCTCATAACTTAATCTGGGTTGGTTTTTAGCAGACCAGTAGTTCTGAAACATCCAAGCTGACCCATTCCCTGTTGTTTCCTTTGGCAATACAGCTATTTGAAAGTCAGTGCAACCTTAGAGCTCCTCACTGTCACACACTTTCAAAGAAACTAATTCTGTGTAAGTCGATTCGTGTCTTTGAGTGATCCCTTGAAAGATAGAATTTCCTGAAAATTAACCTCTAAACTCAAGACAAAGACACAATAAACTATTTACTTAAAAGGAATTTTTGTTCCTTTTAAAAATATTCATTTTGTTTTAAAGTGAAATTCACGTAACATAAAATCAACTGTTTTACAGTTAATTCAGTGGCACTTAATACATTCACAACCACCACTTCTGTGCAATCACCTGTTTAGTTCCAAATATTTTTACTGCTCCAAGAGGAATTAAGCAGTTGTTTCCTATTGCTCTTCCTCAGCACTATACTTTTTAATGTGATTTTCTCTATTTCAAGATATTTTAAAAATACAGAAAATATTTGTATTCCTGCTACTTAGAATTATTAGCATTTGTCATTTTCACTTGAAAAAATGTTTATCATGTTAAGGAAAATGGCATTCCAAACGAAGCTGAAGTACCCCTGGACCCCATCACAAGTCTTATTCTCTTTTCCCCAACCCTTAAGCAGTACTTCTAGTAAATTTAGTCTATATCTTTTAAGTTGTTCTCATTTATTGTCTTAAAAAAAAAAAATTTAAAGCTGGACTTTCTCCTGTCTTTCACAAACTACTAAATCAAGGTCTCCTATTTGTTTCTCCATGGACCACATCTTTCAAAATGTACAATTAGACCAGTCCCTATTTTTTATGCATGCAGCTTTGATCTGTTTATCTGAGTGTTCTTACTGGAGTGTTTTTTCAGGTATGGGTATTGTGACAGCTCAGTGCTCAAAAGTATAATTGCTTTTTCATTTAAGTGTTGTATTATTAGTACTATTAGTCATATACATGTATACTCTAGTCTAATATAACTGATCAAAGAAAGTTTAACCTGTAACTTTTCTGTCATTCTGTTTTAAGATAAATCTGTTTATTGGACAGAATTATGAAACAGTCCAGCCTGTGTTGGTTTATTCTTTTTAAAAACATTTACTGTTGAAAGATAGAACATTAAATAGTCTAACTATATGATAGCAGGAATCCTGCTAAGTTAAATATATTGACATTTGGTCCCTAGGAAATTGAATTTTAAATAAGTCTAGCAGCTAGGATAGGATTCTGTGAGTACTACTTTAAATATCTGACTAGAAAATGAGATTAAAAATAATTTTCTCTCTGATGTCTAGGTTGGTCACAGCAGATGTAGCTTTTTACACTGGAAATCTTCAAGCCTTAAAAGGCCTTAAAGATTTGGACCTAAATATGGCCGAGATCTGGGAACAGAAGAGGTGATGACATACTGGAAAACTGGGTAGCTTATCTGACTATGGGATGTATATGTTTATGAAGAATACGGATGCCTGTGATTCAGAAACCTGGAACCCAAAGTGAACTGGGGTA